TTGTCGACTGCTCATAATTAACTTTTATTTTAGAATTTATTCAGATTTTGCTAAGTTTGCATAGAAGTAAATCCGAATTATAGAAGATACCACGTACATAACTATCCTAACATATTTTGTTCCGTGATTGTTGTTGTTTGGATGAGTCTCGGCTGCATCTCACAAATCCATCTGGGCAATTCACCTGTGCATTAAAAGATATTTATAGAAACCACAGTCAACTCCAAAGAGCTACACTCAAAACAAAAATTTGTCGAATCAACACCGCCTTTGTCAATATATGACTTAACCGCCTTGGTTACAATTATAATTCCGAGCGGTGATGAAATTTTTCCGTCCGGTCGTACCCATTATATGTAACTACCGGTATAAATAATCATCATAACTCGGATTTAACATTTTAACCAAGGCGGTTAAGTCATATACTGACACCGGCGGCGTTGATTTGACAAATTTTTATTTTGAGTGTACAATTATAAATTGGTTTATAAAAACAATTGTAAAATTACACTCTGATTTCTCCTTCAGCCTCTGGCAAATTACAGAGGCTAGTTGGATCTACATACACCAAAATAAATATCGGCATTAGACGGACATTACGGATTACACAATATAATAGTTCGTGGGCTCGATTTGTGGGAAACGACCATCTCGTAAATTTGAACCCGCCTCCCAAAAAAAGGTCCCCCAACGATTCCTCAAGAGGATTTTAGTTAGCTGAGTACACTCTAAGAAAGCCGGTAACTAAGTTGTTACCAGTCGGAGTATCTATGTGACTCTACCGCATAGTAATTAAGTTTGTATTGAGTGGTAGAAAATTAGTTAAAAACTGGTAATCTTTTCAAATTTCGCTACCCGGGTTATGTATTGCCGGTTTGGTAACAAAATGTCTACCACTCAATAGTAAATTAATTACCATGCGGTAGAGTCACATACACAGAGATACTCCGCCTGGTAATAACTTAGTTACCGGCTTTCTTAGAGCGTAAATAGTCTTTTTTCATTCGGGCTGCATGGTTTTTCACCAGAAATCGAATCCACACAGTAGTTCAAGAGCAACGTCTACCATAATCAGTAAGAAGACATTTTGTGAGAATGACAATTCTCCGGACCGGCTGATCGCCTGAACAGAAGCAGAGTTGGCTGCCTGTAAAGCACTCAAAACTTCCGTCTGTGCAGGGAGTGGTGATATGACCGCAGGAATTATTGACGCAACGATGCAGAGCTAAATTTTGCGTATAAAAGGCAAAGGGTTAAACGAATAAGAGGAAACGAAGCAAGAAACTCCTCTGAAATCATTACTATACTAAAGCAATCTACAGGGTGGTTTAAATGTCAGGTTACAATGGAAAATTTTTCAATGGGAAAAATTCGTAAACTGCCATTAGTTACGGAAATTTTGCTTCTGAAATTCAATATTTTAAGAATTTTGTCATCAGTGTTGCATAAGTTTTGATAATAATTAATAAAAATCTCAATCCCAAATTCGTAAATTTACGAATTTTTCCAATTGAAAAATTTAATTTTTAATTTAATTTTTTCCTATGATTTAAAAAATCGGGAAACTTTATCAAAATCGGGACAGGTTTTGAAAACCGGGACCCTAACCAAGATAACAATTTTTCTTGCCATTTCAGGTGCAAAATTTTCATTTAAAAAACTCACCCATTAAAAATTTATTGAGTAAAAAATCATAAATACTAAAATTTTTTACCAGCCCGACCAATCGTGGAAATAGTCACCAGAATGACGAGGATTGCCAAAAATTTCATCTTGAAACAACTTAAAGTGGCGATGTTAGTTAATGAAAATGAAAGAATGACGAAAGGTGGCAGATAGCAGCGGATTTATTTATGGTCGCTTGTTTTATTTGAGTTGGTGTCCTCCCTACTGTCAGTACCCGTCTTGAGAATCTACAAACACAAAAATGTATGCTTAATTGTGGACCCATTTTTGCACAAAGTTTGAAAATAAATATGGCTGATTTTAACATGACTCCTATCCTTGTGGAAACCAAATTTATTCACGAATCAACTACGAAAATCCCGAACCCAGCCGGGAATCGAACCACGGCTCGCTTGAATTCATGTCAAGTGCTCTGACCACTAAGCTACTAGGGCAATTAGTAACATTATCGGGAATTTTGCTGATATTTAAAGTCAATGTCAGTAAATAAATTAATAAAATAAATAAATCAGTAATTAAAACCAAAACAGGAATTAGCCACATTGTTATTTGTTTTTCAAAGAACATAAAAAAATAAAACTTTTTGACCTTTGTCATGTTCACCAAAAATGCTAGTGTGATCTGATCTGTTACAAAAAGTAGAAAATGATAAAAGACGAAAAGTCATATTTTTAGTGTTCTTTACGAAAAAAATCACAATCAGGCTAATTTCAGGCGTGATTTTACTTAATTTTTATTAGATAAAAAATTTAATTTAGGAATTTTAATAATTTTATTTCCTAAAATAAATCCCGGAAAGATTCAAAAATTCCTTTTCCCTTCTTCAATAATATCAGGAACTATACAAAAATTCCCGGAAACATTCGAAAATTCCAGGAAGTATTGGCTTCTTGGAAATAGTCAAAAATTTCTAGGAACCATGAAATTTCCAGGAAATATTCCATAGATAGAAATAATGGAAATATTTTCAACCATCCCGCTTTCGGAGAACATTTTAGGCTTTTTTAAAATAAATATCTGTATCGTATTGTAAAAATTGTATTTTATTATTGTGTTATTGTACTGTAAAAATTACTGCTTTCTTTATCTACTTACATTTTACTCGAGGCCGGGATATGTAAATATATCGGCGCAAAATATTTTGTGCATGCACAAAATATTTTTACTTGCAAGTAAAAATTTTGATTTTGGCCGGACGACGACTTAGACTCGACTGGACTGACATTGATGCGAAGACTTTGGCTTCGTTAGAAGGATGAAGGTGACATCTAAACAAAACCCGCCCCCAACTTATCGTATGAGCACTTATAAATAAGTCTGTAGATACTTATGTATGTAAATGCTCCGAATAATATGTTGACTACAAATTATGTAAATAACCTGAATTGGCCATGAATTGGCACTTTTCATTGCGAAATTTATAACCTGGACTCTGTCCTCGGATCAGACCAGGAGAAAGATAAAGTTGAAGGCGAATGGGGCGATGTTAGGTTAGGTTATGTAAATTAGATAAGCCTTTGTTTATTCCGATTTGCACAACATACATATTTATGTCTTGCATTCATCTCGGATGAGAGTGGATCGTTGTCTTATCTTGAATTAAGTAAGTAATTGGCAGAGACTGGCGGATTAAAGATATCGGGATTAAGGATTGAGGATTACATTTTAAAATCTTGGGATTGAGATTGAGGATTAAGGATTAATTTTCAAATTTTGGGATTAAGGATTGGGATTAGGGATTGAATTTAATCTGGGATTAAATTTTGGGTAGTTTCCTTGGATTGGGATTAATATGGGATTAAATTTTGGGTAGTTTTCTGGGATTGGGAATTAATTTAGTCCTGGATTAATTGTTTGCACTAAATTTCATTATGCCAGATTTTTAAATTAATTAAATGAATCTGGACTTCGGAACAAGAAATATGTTTTAAGAACATTTCTCATGCAAAATTAGATCGTTTAGTAATAAAATTTTTAACAATTAAATATTTTTTGCACAAAAAATTATATACGGGAAAGATGCTAATTTTACTCTAGGTACTATTTTTAACGAAAAATTTTGACCAGATTTTGGCAGAGCACTGACATTTCTTTATAAGCTCACGCCAATGTTGCATTGTGCATTGAGGATACCACGTTACGAGTAGCTTTGCAAAATGATTTGTAGTATTTTAAATATGTGATAAAACTGAACGAAATGTAATCAATTTTGGAAAAGGAGCGATCTTAAGAGAAGTTTGGCTTTTCGATTTTTCAGTCATTGCAAATTTAATCCAATTTTAATCCCATTCTAACCCCACTTTAGGATTAAAGTTGACAGAGGGATTGGGGATTAGGGATTAAGGATTAAAATTTTAGAACTTGGGATTAAAGATTGAGATTGAGGATTAATTAATCCCCAATCCTAATCTCAATCCTTAATTCGGGATTGACCAGTCTCTGGTAATTGGTCCAAAAGTCTTGAGACTGTGAAGTACATAAATGCTTCTATTCATTAAATACGGAGAGTTTTAAGTTTATTATGTATTATAAATGTGCATAGCGACGAATATGAGCAGAATACGTATGTACACATACAAAAGTATAATTTGCATAATTTGTAAAGTAAGAAAAATGCAAATTATGCAGTTAATTGGTGGATTGATGCATGATGACGAGTACAAAGTTCATGATACATATTTAATAAATAAGTTTTAGTCCGAATAAAGGCTTATGTACGATTTCTGTCTGTCTTTCTGTCGATAAGTCACTTACGGCAAGCCAGGCGAAACTTGTATGGAAATGTTTGGCACATTTTGTGCAAATTTTTCAATTCGATAGATTTCATTTTTGTACTTGGTATAAAAAATGTATGAACGGAGTTGGTCCAAATTTTGTCAAATTGTGTGTGGAAATTATGCATCGTTTAAATTTTAAAATAATTTTGCGTAATCTAATTTTCGACGTTCAATATCAACTTTTTTAACCAAACGGTTTTTTAACCTCATAAAAGTTCTGCAAATTTTGAAAAAATTAGGTAATTCCTTTATCATTTACATGTTATACTCGGCCGGGTAGGTTGGCACCCGGCAAACATGTCAGGCCGAGTACCGGGTAACATTTATTCCCACTACCCGGTCATTAATTTGGTTGATCAGTGGGTGTGATAACTCTACTACTGTTCAGCCGAGATTAATAGTCAGAAAAAAATCTGAGAGGTTTCCTGGCAGATGTTTCATAAATTTTCCAAAGACCAAATAACCTCTCAGAAAAATTTCTGAGGAATTGAGACTATTAATATCGGCTGAACAGTTATCAACTCAATTCTGACAAAATTGGTCAAATGCATTGGGTGAAAGTTTATTCAACGTGTTTCCAAAACTATAAAAATGTATTGCTATTAAATCATGTAAATTTGCACTTGGTAGATTTTTATCCTCTCATGAGATTAATCTTCGTAGTCAGGTCGCTCTATGAGGCTAAACTTGGACACCGACATTTTATTCGAGACCATAAAACCGGTCACATTTTCTGCTGTTTCCTTATCAACCTGTGAATAAAATGTGCGAAAAATGTAAATTTAGCAAAATTCATAAATGCACTGAATGATTAATCACTTAAGTAACAGTTAAAGTCTGTCAGTGTATGTTAACTGATTTTGACGAAATTAGCCTCAATCGGCCACAAATTTGATTAGTATGAAATTTGCAAATGATATGTTGAATCTTCCAACTGGTCACGTTTAACAAAAATTTTTGTGAAAAAGTGGGCAAAAAGCACCTTGAAGATGCCAAATTTCGTACTTTCTCGTCCTGGGAGAATGTTTCTTTTGCAAATTTCAAATTAATTAAAATTATGTATGAATGAGACTATTTAATTTGGTGAAAATCTGACCGCATACGTTAAGAAACCCCCATCGTATTAAGTAATGAAGACTCACGTACATAAAGCTTGGAAATTGAGACGCGTTCCATGTTGCTGATCGCCATGAGGAATTGTTTAAACAGATCCATCTCTTCCTTCTTCAAGTCGAATACGGAATGCGCCAAGCTGTGCGTCATCAGTTGGAAGGTTTTTAGACCTACAATTTATGGAAATAATGAGCGTCAACTTGTGCATATCTCGAAACTTGAGGATGTGTGGCATCAGCATAACTTGCCTACTTGTATACATATCTAACTTGCGAGATTTCGCAAAAATTTTGGTGGAAAACCAGTGGAATTTTTTTTCGCAAATTTGTCCAGTAATTTGACCTTATTATTTCGAAAACTCAACATCACCATCACCATCGGTGATTCATCCATAAAATCCTTACAATCAACACGATTTTAATCATATCTCAGCCCTTGGAATTTATTTTAGCAAAAGGTTTCAGACGACTAGTATGTAATCAATGAGTTGATTAATGAGACAGAATTTTTTAATTCAGGGTTCTTGTTTTTCTGAAGACTTGCTAAGCTTAAGGTCTCCTCTCAAAACTGGCAAAATCAGGAGTGTATATTTTAAAATAAATTAGATATGACTCCCCGCACCACAAATTTGTCGTCCAAAATTTCAAAAATAAATTCGCTCAGCCGTGATACGATAAAAATTTGTATTTTAGTGATGAATGACTGAATCCTATCTAAGTTTTCGCTTACGGTGGAATAACTCCTTAACATCCAACATGGCTCCGATAATATCCCCGATTTCGTTCGGATACGCGGGTAGCGATAATTTCAGATGTTTCAAACCCTTCCAACCCCGACACGTTTGGAGAACGACGCCCAACTTCATTCCATTCACGCCACCACGGATCCCCGTTCGGTAGTACAAGTCCACCTGAAGACATGCACAGATTAGGACATTTTTACATAGATTAGATAACCCCATGTTAATCATGCAGTATTTACAGAATGGGGCCTGGAGTGATGTTATTATTTCCTTTTGAAAGAATTGTTCAGGGCCCTCTACTGATCGTAGCGTTTGCAATTATGAAATAAAAATTTGATAAGCACCGGCTCAAGTTTTTTTTCAAAAAAGTCAAAAATTTCTCCACGGGAGATTCCATCTTCCTACTCTGAAAAATTAAGGCATGGAATTCCGTTCGTATATGGGTCGGATTTGCGGTGAAATTTTGGAAATGCGTTTGCCAAGAATGTGGAAAAAGTTCCCAGGAATTTTCGGAAATTTTTCAAAAATTGTAGGGTCATTTTTTGACAGTCCCCGAGAATTTTCTGGGATTTTCTTTCCCCCGTTTTCCCGGAATAAAGCAAAAATCGAACCCAGTAATCGATTTATTAATTACATACCTGTAACCTCGTCAAATTGGGGAAGGCCGTCCTCAAGCCGCCCAAAAGGCTGGGTTCGTATATCTCGATAAGGCACAAATTTCGCACGCCTGCCAAAATATTGTTCGCGTTGCAAATATTCTTCAAAGTATCTTCGACACAGGTCAACTTGAGGTTTTTGGTGCTGGGTTTTTCGACATTGGCGAATTTCAGGGTGAAAAGTTTACCCCCGATGAGATTTATCATTCTGGAGATGTTAAAATCTGACCGACTAACGGGGTCGGTGAAGTGCACCTGTCCAAAAAGTATATCAAAATTTATTCAATTTAAAAATTGAAGGAAATTATTCATTCATTTGATTATTAATAATCGGAAAATGAATGTTTACTCATTACCCGTTTTTTAATTCATTTTATAATTAATGAGTCAAATTATTTATTCATTCTTCATGAAAAAGAAATGAACAAATATTTCTGGAATGTTCGTTCATTTAGAAAGTTTGAAAAAATATTGGATCATAATTCATTCATTTCTTGAATAATGAATGAATAATGCATTCATTCTCTATTTAATCTATTTAGGGATCGTTCATATATTATGTCAGCAAAAACGTGATATTTGGTAGACTTGGGTCCCTTATTTTACTCGTGTTTCATTTAAGATGAGCGGGATAAGGAAGGTATTGTTGGGTGGTCCCAAAACTGACATTTTTTGATAACGTAATATATGAACGTTCCCTAAAATTTACCCCATCCATCGCTATGGTAAAGGACGCGAGCTTCTTCGAATTTCCAAAATCCGGACAGAATCCCCACGGAAGCGTGACCTCCCTCAAATTCCCGGATGCATTCACGACCAACTGCGTAAACGTGGTAAGATATTCCGTCACCCGATTCGAACTGAGGGTGAACACGACCAAATTAGCCTTCTTTTCGAGCTCCTCCCGCATCTCGGGCGGGACGAAGTTTGTAACCCGGGTATTTGTAAAGGTACACGTGATCCGCAACTGTCTTAAGTTTGGACAGCAATTTTTTAGCACTTGGTACACGGATTGCAAACATTTTTCCACGTTTAAGGAAACTTCCAAAATTTGGACGCGGTCAGAAAATTTGTCGCAGAGGAAGATTAATTTTGAGGTGAACGAGTACACGCAAAGGGTCGCGTCCACGAGGGGGGTCGAGCACGTGGCGTGGATTCGTTTCGTGAGTCGGGCATCGAGGGTGAAGCACGTGGCGAAAAATTGGATGGGATCGGGTTCGGGAACTTTGCCATCTGCACAGGACAATTGTATGGCGAGGCCAGGATTTGGAAATGAGAGGATGATATCGTTCCAAAATTTGGAGACTAGGCGACACGTTTTGAGAGGGGTGAAGGGTTGGAGGAGGATTTGGGTTAAAATCTGAAAGAGAAAGGCATAATTTTTTTTAGACGGAAGATTCCAATAAAATTTTTGAGATGTGATTTTTAGCGAATTTTTTTATATGCAGGGTGGTTTAATTGTCACGCTACAGTGGAAAATTTTTTAATGGGAAAAACCTCCAAATCTCCATTAGTTGCAGGATTTTGTATTGAAATTGTTATAATTATTAACCTAAAACTGATGGAAAACTGATGACAAAATTCTTAAATTTGAATGTTGAATTTTAAATATAAAATTTCAGTTACTAATGGAAATTTACGAATTTTTCCCATCGAGAAATTTCCCATTGTAGCGTGACGGTTTTTAACCACCTTGTAAATACTTACGATTGGATTATTAAGTGCGATTTGCACGCTTGTGTCCGCTGACAGAGATCCCATTGCTAATAGTAAGATCGGAGATAAATTGCTGCTTCTGAATTTCACAAAAATATCGTATTTTGAAACTTTGACTAATTTTTTATTTGTGTAAAAAATTTGAGGAAAAGAATACATCAAATGCTGAGTTATCTTTGCATATTTAGATGATCAGCCAGCTCCCGGGGTCATCAATTTTCTACAATTCAGCCTAATAAAAAAATATTCAATAAGAATTTGACATAATTTAATATTTAAGTACGAAATAAATAATTTACCTATTTATCGCGACAGCATTTGACGCTATAAATCGAGCTAAAACATGAGTGATTGTACAGAATTGCGAGTTTCTACAGAAATATGGATACAGTAATAAAGTAATTAAATGAATGAATGTGTCGTAACTATTTATTTAATAAAAATAGAAAATTTACCTAGCTTTAATTACTGCCGTAGTGTGAAATACGTCCATAAAAATATGATACCTCCAAAATTAAATGAACATTCCCATTCTATGTATTTCCGTTTTTTTTCAATCATTTTATATTTTATATAAAATGTGGCAAATGTTCTTAGCTCGAGCGACCTATATTTTAATTTCACCACGTGTTTATGATAAGATTTGCAGAGTTTTAATTGAATTTAGCTACGTAAAAGAAATCGAAAAAAAGAAGTGAGATAATTGTTTTTATTTCCACTTTTCTTTATTGAACTGTTCAATTTGAACACATGTTTCGCGAATCCCGAATGTGACGAGGCTTTTAGTGTCAATTCCGGTGAGGGACCGTGCAGAAAGGGTGTGTCTCTTTATTTTTTTATAGAGCCGAGGCTAATTATTTCTCTGTAATTTTGTAATTGTATTATTTAAAGTTGGGCATCATGCGGTGAAGGAGGTAAAAAATTGGTGACGTGCAGTATGAAGGGTCCCCTGTGCATGATTTGATGCACTCGACTGGAACCAAGCTCCGTTTCTCTTTGTGCATGAAACTGCTCGTGGCGTTGGTTTCGCTAAACGGCTTACATATGTAGTGTTATTTTAATAACGAGTATGTAGTTTAGCCTTTATGAGTAGTTTGGCTTGTATCTCAAAAACGGGCTAAGCGTGTCCCCAATATTATTACGGATTATCCTACATGAAGATGGTGGCGGTGCGTTGTGCACCTGATCACTAACAATGGAGGTCTCCCAACGTATGCTCACAGATTTGGACCAAACTAGCGTCAATCGATCACAAATTTAATTAGTATGGAATTTGCTAATGGCACTATCTCCCATTGCGCAGGTTTAGCGGAGATATTTGCATGAAAAGTGGAGAGAGCGCATCCCCAAGGCTCGTAAATTTTTCATTTTACAAATTTGTTGCGCATTTTTCTCCTCTTTCCATGCAAATATCTCCGCCAAACCTGCGCAATGGGAGATAGTTCCATTTGCAAATTTCATACTAATTAAATTTGTGATCGATTGACGCTAATTTGGTCCAAATTTGTGAGCATACGTTGGGAGACCCATTGTTAATTAATTTTAAGATTGATGAAATATTTGAGTAAGGATTATAGGATTCGACAAAGGAATCCGCCAAGTATTTCAAAAGTGAAAATTATCTCTTACATTATGTTCCCCCATGTGAAAATACTATGGTTTGACCAAAATTTTGGGGGTAAAAATTTTCCCTTGGGGGTGGGGGCATTATTCGATTTGAAAATGATGGAAAGTCGGCGCTGGATATCGCTGGAACGGTTGGATGAAAATTCAAAATTATTTTTTTCTTACACTCTTTGGATCAATACCCCCAGGTGTTTTTTGAATTACATGGAAATTCGAACTTTCAGGGGTTTTCCGCAGCGACACAAAAATGACCTGAAAATTGGCATGTCTAAATCACTCAAAAAGTATGGCGAAATAATCCTTTGTTAGATTTTCCCCAATTTTTGGTTGTAGAACACAAGTTAAATTACCCAAAAAGTCGAAATTGGCATGCGTGACCTTTTTTCGGGGACCGAAAGGTCACTATGTCAAAGGTCACGGACCCACATAAATTGAGTATCGTTGGAAAGATCTCGGCGAATGGATGAAAACCTCTCCCATAGTGAAACACGTTCTTACGTTTTGCTAAAGTACCGTAAAAACTCAAGTAAATAGTAGTCGTGTCTATATATTTTCAAAATTTTATAAATTGTGACCGTGCTCAAATAGTAGCCTTATTTGAATAGACGCGTCTCCATTTCGATACATACCAACACACTTCTTGCCACTTCATTGCGATAATTATGTAAATTATAATTCAATCGGATCGCAGTTACACGCCATCGAAGCGATGAGTCGATGACAAAATACGAATTTAGCTCATCGAATGAATCATTGAAGAGTAAATAAATACATCAAACAGAATAATATTTATTCTAAACTCTCAATAATTTTTTGACGATATTGTTACCGGCGGAGTTACTATGCAACTCTACCGCTCGGGTAATAATTTATCACTGAAGGGTAGCATATATATAGAGGCTAAATCCTGCTCGACCCCCAATGTCAACGCTCAGGTAATAAAAATATTACCGATACCGGAGGCAATTTCTTACCCTCAGAAGACAATTTGTTACTATATTGTTACCACGCGGTAGAGTTGCATAGTATCTCCGCCGGTAACAATATCGTCAAAAAATTATTGAGAGTATACTGGACTGCGACTCTAAAGGAAAAATATGTATGTAGGTGCTGTGATTAAAATTTAACTTGAGCCTGATTCAGGACAAAAATAATAGTTGTATGCCAAAAAAAAGTAGCCGTGTCTCTCTCCATTATTTTAAAAAATAGTGACCTTGCCCAAATAGTAGCCACCGATTTTATAAATATCTACTAGCCCCCGGCTACTATTTGAGTTTTTAGGGTGGGTTTATAAATATACTTGACCCCATCATCACGTGACCCGGGCAATTTGATTTTCTGCTTCGGCAGAGTTTATCTTTTCAGAAAATATTTTTTTTTATTTTTCCACTCAATTTAAACGTTTTGGTAAATTTGAATTGGTGGAAGTGATGATGATTACCTGAAGTATAAACATGGCTTTATGTATGTAATTGAAAGTCAAATTTATATCGCCCATTCGTACATACATAATTTGTTTTATGCAATGCCAACCGATTTCACATTGTCGAAAAACAATGGTAGCATTGTTTCCCAAGGTGTTAGGTCGTGACGTAAAAGATTACCTCATATAAAAAGAAAACGACCCCATTGCTTAAATATCATCACTTACTTACTCCTTTACAATTTATTAAACCAGTCCAAATTCCGAAATAAATTAAAAATGGGGAAAGTTTCCGAAATCCTGATCGTCCTGACCCTTGTCGTACTGTTGGTCTTCTTCATTGGACACACGGAAGGGATCCCGGACTCTGAAAAAAGTGTGGACTCGTTCGATGAGTTGGGTGAGACGGAAATTTTCCCCCTTAAAGTCTGGAAATTTTGAAAAAAGAAGGAAATATTTTTCCATCCCGCGGATGAGAAACTGACCGACCTGGCTGCCCGGTATCGGCGACATTATCCGAGCTACTACCGTCGAACGTGTAACTGCCCGTGCTCCTCGTTCTCATACCCGTGCTGCTGCTTCAGAAAATGATTTGTCCGTTATTAATCGGCGAATAATTTTTAAAATGAAATAAATTCTTGTCTTGTGGGGGAGATAATTATTATTTTTTTAAATAAATAAATAATTCACACCTGACTCCTGAATGGGTAAACGAATGAAATGATTGTAATTATTTATGTAACGTTAGCGTTGGATTCGGTGACTTGTCGCCTGGGACGTCACAGGTGTAAAAAAAAAAGAACAAATCTTCATATTTTTACTCCTCTCTGGGAATTTATTTTAAAATTCTATGTATATAGTCATTTTGTACAGCATGTCTACATATGTATATGTATAATCATAAATATATACATAGTGACTATGGTGCATCTAAAAAGTATTGAGCATCGGCCAATGTTAATAATACTAACAGGCTAAATAGCCGACCTCTCAATAAGCTATAACATGTAAATTTTCGAAATTAATAGCACGGTCAGTTCTACATGGATTTTCAAAATGGCGCACATTTTGGAGACCTTGGACCCTTTCGCGAAATATATATTTTCAAATTTTTCAAATTCGGCCCCACCCCCTCGAAATCCAGGTCACAAGGTCAAAGAACAAGCAACACTTCTTTGTCGGATTTGAAAATTCTACGCCTAGCTCCAACTGACCTTGGTGTAAATTCCTGGCGGCAATAGACAGGTCATCATATCCAGTGATTAGTAGACCACACCCCCTCCTTTGGAGTCATTGTGGGGGTGGTCAAATGTCAAATCAGCAGACTTAAAGCAGCAAAAAATTTTCCCACACCGTAGTTTCCCAAATTAAACGTCGCCAATACACGTGGTCTTACCAAGGCCCCCTGTGTGAACGACATTCTACTGTCGTAAACCCCATGGCGACAGGGGGTGTGGTTATCGGCGCTTCTGCCAATACATTACCAATGCACGGCATGCGACATATCATTTTTCTCAGGACGGTAATGAGATTTCAGTGACGTAATTCAAATTTAAATATGCCACACCCCCTGTGGGTGTGGCTGTCGCTATCCAGGGAATCGACTTAAACCTGGTGATGCGAATTTTCTCATGACGTTAAGTAGGTTTGAGTAGTTCAGATTGAATTTAAAAAGCCAAGCCCTTGTGGGCGTGGTTGCTAGTAATCGGTGAATGTAATTAAAGTAGGTCATGTTACACAGCAATTGTCTGACAAACCCAAGGCGACCACGACGGGGTGATTAACAGAGGCGAAGCTACACCTCCTACGGTTGTGGTCATAGTATGCACTTGGGGCATTGCCTTGGAGATGAACTCGATGCTCTCACAGGTAGTGTAAGTTTATTCGATTTAAAAGTCATAATTACCTGGACTTAAAGAATTCGCAAAATTTACGCTGATTTTTGTTAAGTTGGAGATAGTTGCAATTTTTTTCAAATCGAATAAACTGACATAACCTGCTGAAGTATCGAATTCGTCTCTAAATCTACCCCCCAAGTGCAGAAACCTTGCGATACGGTTGTCCACGACTTTTCGAATTAAGAGAAATCGCTGATTTCTAATCCGTCCGCCTGACTGATAATTTTTCTTAGCTTTGTTTGCCAATTCTGACAGAAAAATTTAAAATCGGAAGCCACACCCACTTTTCGATTTCTAATTTATTGGATTCGACTGTTGATTACCCAACTGACATTATAGAAGGGAGTGGGATCATGTACCAAAAATGAAGACCTTATTATTTCGCACTACCTGGTTTCGAAGATTTTCATGTGTCACAAAGCACAACCATTGTGGGCGTGGTTTTGTTTTAATTGTATACCTTGATCCTCCTGACGAGGTTAGAAAATTTACCGATCACATGACGTGGTTTAAAAGAACTCTTAGCTGAAGAACCTACCTAGCTGAAAAAATTGATGGTCACATGACCGTAGTACATTACTATCAGCCACACCCAAAAGCAATTTGGTTTACTAAATTTAAACTAGGTCACTGAAATCATCTTACCGTCCTTAAATAAATATATATGCCGCATGACCAGGTTTAAGTCGATTCACTGGATAGCGACAGCCACACCCACAGGGGGTGTGGCATATTTAAATTTGAATTACGTCACTGAAATCTCATTACCGTCCTGAGAAAAATGATATGTCGCATGCCGTGCATTGATAA